GGAATGGATTTCCAGAAAAAAAAAATGCAGACTACAGGAACCAGGAGCACTACTCAGGTGACTTTGAGGACACAGATAAACCTCCAAGTGCTTCAATGACCCTCTAAAAGGTGCAAATGACCAGCTGTCTGCAAGGAATATAAATCCTTCCATTCCCCACTATTCTATCAGAGCCAAAGAAGAGTTTTGGAAGAGAAGTGAAATGTCTTCAAAGAAAAAAACAAGAAGTCCAGTTGCCTCCAGAAAAAAATACCTTTGGGACAAGGTGACCCATGACCTGGATGACTGAGGATCTCTACAGTAGTTGTAATTTGTTTCACATGTCACCTGCATTTGCATAATCAATCTATCTTCCTCTCTCTCTTCCCCACCTCACGCCAATTTAAATCCTACATCAGTCTAGCCATTCTAACATCTGATGAAGTGAGCTTCACCTCATGAAAGTTAATGTCTTTTAATAAAATTTATTAGTGAAAAAAATATTGCAGGGATGCATGACAGTGGTCCTGTAACACTGGTTTAACTTGCACTGAGTTTATACAGTGAACCCTGTAGTCATACTATTATATATATTCTTGTGTGACAGAGAAGTGAGTAAATACTGCAAAAGCTGCTAAGGTAGCAGATTTGTGATTTTATATACCAAGCGTGTTTTTAAATAATGTTGACAATTTATACCAATAAAGGAGAATATTTGTAATCAAGGACCCCTCACTTATTTTATATCAATCTGATTTCATTCACAGAAATTGGTGATCATCAACACTGATTTAAGAATGTAGTGAACCCTTATTTAGAAGTGGAAGATTATTTTACCACTCAGTGATGCTGAACATATATGTTTGCTGCAAGATCAGTGCCTATGTTTTTAAACCTCTATTATGGTACACTTTCCCTTAAGCTTCTAGGAACTTAAGGGAAACAGAGATAACATGATATTATGTCATTACCCCAAATAGGGGATTTTATTTATTCTCCAAAAAGTTGCTGCATTCTTGAGAATTCTTGAATGGTCCTAGAGGAAAGTGTAATTTAGAAACTGTTACACAATTTCATAAGTGACATTCTTGTAGTTCTCTGTGTGCATCTCTGCAATGTAACATTCCTTGGCGCCTGGCATTCCATTAGCAATGGTCTATAAGTGACAAATTTCTCATTGTGGAATAGTTGTTCAGGCCCAATTAACTAGAAGGAGTTATCCAAAGAGCTATTACTGATTATATTAGCAGTTTTACTATGGCAAGAAGCATAAATATATCATGTCATATTTTGTGCAGTCCAATACACCTTACAAAAGAGACTTCTTTTTGAAAGTTAAAATGTGGTACCTTATTTCACACAAGCAAGGGAAACTATAGAGACCTTAAGGAGCGCTGCTTTTCTTCATCCACCTTGAAAACCAAAGTGGAGCAAATACTGACCGAAATGGGAATTGAGAGGAATACTGAAATGATTGACATTTTCTCCAACTTCTAGCAACATTGATTTCTACCAGGTACTCCATAACCAACAAAACAAATGGAAAAAAAATCCTAGTACCTCAGAAGAGGCATTTTATGATGTAACAAACAACATAACAAGATGTCACAAAAAACCTTTAGGAAGAGGCTACTATGAATGGAATGGAGCAGCAATTGATTATAAAAGTTAAACTGGATTATGATGCAGCTTTTCAGGTAATGCTGTCAAGGCCAACAGGAAAAGAAAGGGCTAAGCAGGCACTGTTTTAAATCATGTCTCACTGCACTGTTGCTAGGAACATTCCAGCTACGGTTGCTGTTTGCTACCAGGCCCCAAAGACTGACTGCACTCATAGGAAAGCAAGCCCAGCTAGGGAGAGACGCTGTCACCATAGCAACCAAAAACCATTGAGAACAGGCATGCCGCTGCAACCGATAGTAAGTGATTGTTTTATTTCTTTACATTATTGAAGTTTTCATTTATGTCAAATAAGACTTTCATTAACTGCAAGAGCTTGAACCTCTCAGTAGCTTTGCTCAAGAAACTACCAACAAACTCTCTTACCTGCTCATGGATGCAGTCTTTTCTAGGAACAATTGAAGTCCCAACCCAAAAATATGTAGCGTCCTGCTTTTCTCAGATATTCAGGGTTTTCCTCATATCTGATCTTAGTCTTGCTAAAATTTGGGCAGCTATCCAGGAGAAAGAGAACACAACCCACCCACCCCCATCTTTTGCCCTGTAGATAGTGAGCAGAGCAGGGCTTACTTTAGGCCTTTATTCTGGTAGTGTGTTAAAATTGAATATCTGAATAAGTGTATAACCAGAATGTAATCTTAGTATAATTAGCACTGTCCACCTATCTGATATTTTCAACTCTTATCTATGCAATCTTATTTATTTCAGTAGTCTGTTGTTTTGAAGTTGGAAATACAGTGTTGAAGCTTTTGCAAATGGTGAGGGCTGAACATATTTTCTTCTAGGCTAGGTCTAACTATATTTTAGAGCACGTTTTCTATATCTTAGAGCAATTTAATGGGCTCCAAAATGTGAGCTTTAGTTTTCTACTTTTCAAAATGAAAAAGAGGTTGAAGGGGAAAAGCTTGTTCTGGACCATTGGGCTGATTTGTTACTAACGAAGTACTTCACTCTTCTATGGTGGAGTACACTTGGCTAACACATTAAAAACTGAAATCGATGTTTCTATTGTGGTGCCTTTATGTGTCTGAAAAGTGAAAAATGTGAGATATAATTTGAAAAGAAAATACTAGTCTCCGTAACATTAAATATAAATGTGCCAAATAGTCACTTCTTGTGGTACAAACAAAGCTGATAATGTTTCTTTATTTTCAGAAGCAGACAATACTTGTTAGATAAATATTTTGAAAAGGATTTCATTGGGTGCAAGGATATTTCCATTTGATTTATTTACACAGCTAGTGTAACCTCATGTGTCAGGTCTCTTCAGGAGTTGAACTGAGCTGATTTATTACCCGCTAATATCTTGTTCAAGAGGTACGGTTTTGAAGCTGACTTTCATCTGGATGCAATGGAGCTCTGCGGATCTTGAGGAGAGACTGTTTTTCCATTGAAGGAAAGATTTCTCCTGGGACTTGAGGACCTGATAGGGCCTCAAAGAGGCATGATGTATTAATGGTTTTGCAGCCCTCTACCAGTAGTAGTCCAGCCAAAACAAACTGGGGTGTTATATCTTCAAGAAACATAATTAATTTGGAGGGGAAAGGTAATAATTTAAGTAACTAGTAGACAAGGAAAACCATGTCAGATATGTTATATGGCAATAAAATATGCATGGTTCTTCAGCTAGGACCCCTTTTGTAGGTTTTGTCATGTATTATGTATGTTTAATATTGGCAGTTGATTCAGACTTTTCCATGGCAGAATCTAGAAATTAGTCACTGGAGCTGGGATCATTCTGTGTTGAAATTTAATTTAAAATGCTTTGATTTCCATCTTTAAGGATTTTTTAAAACCAGAGTTTCTAAATTTATTTCATATGAATGTTACAAGCTGCCTCTTGCCATTGATAGTGTCATATAAAATGTTGATGTTATTAAATAAGATAGCCAGTTTGGAATGGCAGTTAAGGCATCATGCTAGAAATTGGGAGACCATGTGTTCTAGTCCCACTTTAACCATGAAATCAGTTGGGTGACCTTGGGTCAGTCACTCTCATTTAGCCTTAGGAAACAGGCAATTGTAAACTTGCCTTCTGAAAAATCTCGCCCCAAAACTGCATGGATTTATCAAGACAATCACTGAGAGTTAAAACTGATTGGATAATTCCAAGAAACTTACATATGGGGAAAAAAGAAAATACAAAAAAATCTGCTACCACATAAATAAAATATCAGATACTATAGATGTGAAAAATTAATCATATACATGCAGCATATCATACTGATCAATTCTTTATTTATAAGTTTATAATTTAGTCCTGCAAAAAGTGCAATCAATCTAGACAGCATACAATTCTTTGTTTAGTGATAATATTTATCTCTCCAAAGGGT